TTTAAATAAAACGAATTATAAAATTTCAATAAAGTATATGTATATTTGTCGTAGGTATGAAAAAAGTAAAATATAAAATGGACAAACGCTTACTTACATTGCAATAAAACTTCCACTTTTAGTTTTGCAATCCAAACGCAATATTTCTATTTTACAAATAAAATTATCCGACAACACTAAAACCACTGGAACTTCCGCGGTTGACAACAGGGTTGTTAAGTAGTTTATGAAGCAAAAAACTACGCCAAAAACTACGCGTAGTTTTTTGTATTAACTACGTTTTAAAATTTTAAAAACTACTTTCAAAAACTACATAAAAACTACATTAAAAACTACCTACAAAAATATAGTAAAACATAAACAATTTAGATTTTAAACAAAAATCAAGCCAAATTCTTATCATGGAAGTATGAAGTTATACCGTATGATCGAATAAAAACGGCGTAAACGATGGCTATGAAATGAAGATCGCTGTCATTTTATATGTAAAATTATATGGGAAATGTCATCGATCGTCATTTCTAAGCCAACTGGACGCCGTTTTTTTTCGATCATACGGTATTGTATTTGTATAAGTTAAACAAAATCAGAAAAAAAAATACAATTTTTTTTCAATAAAAGTGTATTTTCTATGAAATACAAAGTAACATTAAACACAAAATAAACTATAAATTCTAATTTTTAACTACTAAGTATCAAAAATATTACATAATAAGGAACAGATTCACAAAATATAGATTTTTTATTTCTTAAATTGATCAACAAGTTTTTAGGTTATGTTTTCACTGTTATTTTAAAAAATTACATTAGTTACATAAACTACACATTTACTACTCGACATTTAAAAACTACTTGTGACATGTAGTAAATGGAGGTATTAATTACTACGTGTAGTTTAACAACTCTGGTTGACAACGAAAACTGAAAAATATAACGGCACTTTTTGTTTTGGACCTGTATATCAACATTACGCTGTTCTATTATGTGTTTGTTGTCGAAACAATATAAAATATCTAATTATAACTTGTAAATTTTAATATTTTAACATGATTTTAACTACTTTTGACAATAACTAACTTTTTGTTATCAAGATGACATTTTAGACGGCAACTGACATATATGTCATATTTGAATCTTAAATATGTATGTAATACTTTTTAATATAATTCAAATTACTATAATGCAACTTTATACTAAGAAAACATTTATACATTCACAAAATACAACAAAGTCTAATAACATAGTTTGAAAACAATGAATATTGAATTAAAATTGAAAAAGTTAAGCGCGACCCCTTGTGTCAAAATTAGATACCAACGCTAATCCAGCACAATATTTTTTCTACTTATAATAAATTCCTTGAAATAATAATTTCTGAATATTTAAAAAAAAAATATATTTAATACAATTTATCGTTTTGTATAAAAAATAACTATAACTTGTGATATAGACACACTGATAAAATCATTTTATATGTATTAGAATAATGAGAAAATTGACAATCAAATTGAAATTTGATCTTAGATTAATTTCTTGCACATAATGATTATTATAATCGTCAATTGATTGAGATCAATACGTGAGGAACTGTAGGTACATAGTCCAGTGTGAGTAAACAAATTTAAAAATTCAGGTGAAAGTTTTATGACCATGGTTAATTATGATTTCTGGTGATAATAAGTGGTGTAATAGAATAGTTAGAAGTGTTTACCGATGTACTTAAAAGATTTAGTTCGAACCATAAAACCTGCTTTCACAAGAAAATAAAAACAGGCTGACGCAAAATGTAGTTTTGGGAATTTACTAAATTAGTTAAACCTTCTACACAGTAATAATAGGTTCATGTTCAAATTGACAAGAGGTTGGAATTTCTAGTGACTTCACATTGAAAAATAAATAATTCAAATAACAAATAAAAAACAATTTTTTAAATATACAATAAGGTAGTAATTTTCTGAAAAGATGATGTTCAGTTAATATATACACTGTTAAAATTGTATATATTTAATTGGTATCTTTTTTTTTGTAATAAATAAACCGTTTTAGTTAGCTTTGTGAAAACCGATTTGGATAATGCTAATTTTTTATTATAATTAAATTTAATTTTGGTCAGTTCATAATTTTCTTGTAATGAAATAAAAGCAATTAATTTATTGTAATGAAAAATGTCAAGTTGTCAAATGGCGATGATAAAGCAAAGCAAGAATTTCCATTAACATACAAACTGGATAAAATTTTCTCACATTTATGTCAACATGAGAAAAAACAAAATGGCGATATTATTATATAACTTGGTAATATTTGAGGGGTAGTTTCATCTCGTTGGAATTTGACTTTCGAAAAATCCGTTTGTCAAAAATAAGCTTTTTACGTCAAGCAGTTTAAGGAGAATCGTGGTTAATCAATTACCCAACTTTTTGAAACACCCTGTATGATTTTTTAAAAAATTTCAAAATATGTAAAATACAAAATAAATTATACGTGTCCAAGCGTTTTTCCGAAATACTAACGATTTTTTAAATAACAAATATTGTAATATTTGGGGGGCGTTTTCACCCTCTTGGAAATTGAGATTTGAGAAACCGCTCCTTATCGAACCTTTACACCCCACAGTCAATCCGTTTGCCAAAAATCAGCTTTAAACGTCTAGCAGTTTAAACAGAATCGTGATTACTCAATGGTCATATTTTATGAAACACCCTGTATACATTTTTAAAAAATCTTAAAATATGCAAAACAACAAAATAAAATATACGTGTTTAAGCGTTTTTTCGGAAACTTGACCGTTTTTAAATAAAAGATATTGTAATATTTGAGGGGTGGTCTCACCCCCTTGAAACTGGAATTTTGAAAAATCCCTTCTTATCGAACCTCTACACCCTAGAATCAACCTGTATGCCAAAATTGAGCTTCTTATGTTGAGTGGTTTGAGCAGGATCGTGATTAATTAGTGAGTCAGTCACTTAAGAAATTTATATATTAGTACAGATAACCTGAGTGACAAAAACAAAAAAGAAACCGAAAAAAGATTCATTATGCTCTCAAAGGTATTGCGGTATTCCTGAGGAAATAAGAATTGATGACATGAATGAATTAAAAAAGAAAAAAACATCTCCTGGACTAATCAAAGCCAGAAGAAACTAAAGCAAAAATAGGTCTTTTTCTAAATCCATTTTACCATCGACTGAAGGAGTGTGGTGTGTTGCCTCATAGTGGACGAATTTCCAAACAGTCGGTTTGTGTGTCATTGCGCGCACTTAACGAAATACACCGAGGAAACCCATCACGAAATTATGTTTAGCAATCTACAGACCAGCATAACATTCACATTAAGCATATTGTATGTCAGCCTTTGGCCAGATTCGTAAAGTCATTTTCCAAATTATAACATTCATGATATTACGTTTAATATCATTAATAAGTTTTGCTGTTTGCTGTTAAGATATTTTGGGATTATTTACCTCCCTTTCCCACATGTATAAGTGTATGTGTGGTTTGTATATCTCTATTTACATTTAATATATGCAGTATTAAATTAAACGTTATTCTACTAAAACAATATTTATATTTAATTATTTTATTCGTGTCGTATACATTTTAAATTCTATGCAAATTATTATTTTGTTTTGTCACCCTTAAAATAGCTTTAGGCGGTTTTATTTAGAGCGGCGTGCTTTCTATAAAGAACCGGAACACGTACAGTATGACTTTTTATGATAACGTCTTTCATAGGAACCACATATTATATATATCCAACCAGGAGATTTGTGACAGTGACAGGCAGTTATGTCTGTCAATTCAAAGGCAAATTGGATGTCGTCTTTGAAAATTTTCGTTTATCAGAAGGTTAAAGGTCTTAGTAGCCGTGTCTGTCCAAAAACTATAGCGTTCTTTGAGTACCGTATGATCTAATAAAAACGGCATCAGCGATGGCTATGAAATGAAGATCGCTGTCATTTTATATGTAAAATTATATATGGGAAATGTCATCGATCGTCATTTCCAAGCCAACTGGACGCCGTTTTTATTCGATCATACGGTAGTTACATTTGGAAAATTTAAATAGTTTTAAATTTCTTTTGTTTTTTTGCAATTGATGGTAAAAGGAGATAAACCTCTTGAAACATCAAACACTTTTTGTTGGTTAGCAGACTTACGAGTAAAATTCCGCAAAAGAAAACACTAATTCACCACAATACCCCAAAATACTTTACTTTTGCACTGGACGCGCATCATCAGCAGATAATTAAATTAGATCAGTTAAAAATAATTTAATTTTTTTTAAAATTAGATCAGTTTAAAATCAGTTGATAATGCTAACATGGTTAGCGAAACTGTTACCATTTAACACCAACAGTTCCAACCCCCAACTGTAGTAAGTAATAAGCCACTGAAAATTCCCAGACTTTTTCAAGTAACAGTTATAGCATCTGGTGATACTGTTACCTATGAAAGCCTGGAACAAAGATTTGATCTAATGACGCAAAAATTCTCCTAAAAATCCTCGGGTTAGATCTAATCTTTTTTTAGGAGTTTTGGGGGATATGTTAGAAATGTAGCAGCAGGGGGTCTACCAAAACGAGTAAAGCTTCATTCAGAACCTCGCAATTAGTGGAATAAATTAGTGCTTTCAATTACACTTATACTTATTAGTTTACGATCATTCACAATGTCTAAAAAACACAATTAAAATTACTATAATTTCCTAGCAACAGCTTGTGGTAGTCAGTTGTTAAAAGTTTGTTAACTTTTTCTACTAATTGAAAATGACTACCATTAATTTTAGCGTTGAAAGTAGTGGAACAAACTTCTACGCTAATTAAAACCACTAATTTATGCCCCTAATTTGGACGTTCTGAATGAAGCTTAAAACTTTAAAATTGATCAAGAAAAAAAATGAATTTGGATCTCTGGTCTATAGTAATCCTCAGTTGGGATTACCGAGATATAAACTCTGTTCTTTGAACCATGCATTTAAATACCCTTTCCTTATTTTTCAGTGACGACAAAACGCGTGAAACAAACTTTCCAAACCATTACCGAGAAAAATATCGAATACCCGATATACCACCAATACCGTTTTAAGACCTCATGAAAGCAACAAACGAAATAATGCAAGAACGGCGAGCACCATGTCCCGCGTGCATCCCTTGAGGCGCAAGAACGGTGAGAGACGTCGCTAACACCGACGCTCTTCGCACCCGACGCTATAAAACGCGTCGCTCCGCAAGAACTTGGACATTGCCGGCGCGACGCCTCCTCGCTAACCCTTAAGCCCTGTCCGCACCGCACAGCCCTTTCGATTATCTCTCGATACGTGGATCCGGATCCGGCTTAGAGAATGACGCTGGGATGTTATGGTTTGGTTCAAGTGGTTCTTCTACCCGTAGCGGTGCTCGCGTTGGCGGTCAGCGGCCGGCCGGAAGGATGGACGGGATTGGTGCCGCTGGGTTCAAACAAGGGGGTAAGTTGAGCAGTTTGCTGATTTCTATTGTTTAATAAAATTATATTTTTTTCAAAAAAAAATAAGAAATAAGAAATATTTTTTGTTAAAATATTTTTAAAGAAAATCTAAAAATCAAAATTAATATACAGGGTCCGGCAATAGTGTGTCGGGCATCTGTAGCTCCTACAATTAAAAACCTAAAAGTTTTGTTTAAGTGCAAACCTTAAGTATGTACGAGGATGTATTTCAGGAAAATATTTTAACTTCCCTAGGGTGGCTCAAAAAATTGTGAGTGGATAGGGATGACTTTTTTTAAACGGAACACCCTGTTTATTATTGCATTTTTGGTATCCTTTTAGATCACTTTACATAATCCTAAGATATATGAGTAAATATACAGGGTTATGTACGAGGATGTATTTCAGGAAAATATTTTAACTTCCCTAGGGTGGCTCAAAAAATTGTGAGTGGATAGGGATGACTTTTTTTAAACGGAACACCTTGTTTATTATTGCATTTTTGGTATCCTTTTAGATCACTTTACATAATCCTAAGGTATATGAGTAAATATACAGAGTGGTCCGAATTGTATTCCGGTAACTTTGGCAGCATATTCTGCAGATAAAAATAAGTAAAAAAGTTCGTGTAAATGTATGTTCTAAAATGCTTAGTTTCGGAGATACAGGGTGTAGAAGTTTCATTTTTATTTCAATTTTTTCCAAATAATTTCTGATGTAACGTCAATATTTGGATGAAAATTGGTGTCTGGGAGTTTTTTGACATGAGCAATTTGATTTTGATGTCAATATTACTCCTATTTGGAGGAGGCGCCACCTACAAGTGTTTTAACTGTTTTAGATAACTTTTCGTCTAATTTAGAGTAATAACTTTTCGTCCGTAGCTGTATAAAATTAGTGAGTGAAAAAATATAATAATTAAAAATAATTAACAATATTAAATTATTTTATATTAGAGGCATTTCTTAACCGATATCAACGATTTTTTTTTGTTCAATTTGTAATTATATGAATTATTTTTTAAAACCATTATTTAAAAACATGCATTTTCCTCATTAATTCAATCGCGATTTTATCGCTCGTGAATTAATATTTTCGGTCGTCTTGTATAAAAAATAACTATTACTACCTATGTTGCCATATTATGAACAAATTTTGTTTTTTAACCAAAAACTAAAAAAAAAATTCCGAAGAATTTCAAATTTTCTATTTTTTTCGGAAAAAAACCCTCATAATCGTGTTTCTGAGGTCGAAATATACTACTGCTAAAATATTTACACTTATTTAACACTCACCCTGCATAAATTTTACTATTTCGTATAACGAAAAATAAGCGGAAAGGCAATGTTGATGTAAATGCACAATTAAAGTTATTTAAAAAGCACTTCCGATTGAATACGGATTTCGAACAACTTTTCAACAAATTGAACCGTATAAAAAATATGAAATAGGCAATAACTGTGCATGTAGACAATTGGGAAAATAGCTTTTTTAACACCCACGTGAATTTAAACATAATTTTACCATTTTCTGCAAACGATGCACGGTGGCAACGTAAGGTTTATGCATTTTTTATGCACTTTCAATTGATCTCCACAAAAAGTACGGCTGTCCTACAGTTGAATAATTTTTTTGTATTGTCAGGTTTATCAAATATAAAGCTTTCTATGTCAATTTATATTACTATTTATTCACTACTATATTAATATTTTAATTTTCAATATTTAAATCCTCAGAATTTTACTTTGTTTCTCCTATAACTCATGTATAGGTACTAACTTTTTAATAAAAAAGTTAGTACCTATAAATAAATGAGTCATAAAAGAAAGTAATGTGAAAATTTAAGTTTTAACACGTAAGATTCTTAATAATACATCTCATACTTATTCTCGTTAGTTCAAATCACTAGAGTTACTTTCTTCTTACTTTAAGTAAACCTAAAAATTAGGTAGATGTGTACATACATATATTTGTAGCTATAAATTAAATACTTGAATAAAACTTTCTGTTCAATGTCAAACTAAAAAAAAATATGTAAACTTTAAATTAGCGTATAAGTACCAGTTACTTTCTCCCAGGTCATGAATTTACAGTACTTACCATGTCTCAAAAATTATGCCAATTTTATTTTACCTCAGTGAAATATATTTTCTGCTATTATCGTTTTTACCATTTTTAACAACTTCCTAAAAATTTTGAAGAAAAGCAACTAAAGTATTGATATTGGCGTACAGATAGCAGTACTATAATCAGTAAAAACTAGACAAGTATCATACAATAGAAAAAAAACGGCGTCAGAGATGGCTTGGAGATGAAGATCGTTATTTCCAAACGAACTGGATGCCATTTTTCGATCATACTGTATTATTCATTGCTGTTGTTTTTCATGATTATTATACTATGTGATATGCATGATTCGAGGAGTTAATTTTTAAATTTTACAGTGCAGTACTACTAAACCTACAATTTTTTTTAATTTAAAATCAAAACTAAGCAGAAACGACACATTGTCATTTTTTGAAAAAAATTTACAAAATATTTCAATTTAAATCAGAATTTTATATAGTATATAAAAATAGATACTTTTGAATTAAAATGGCAGAAAGCAGCATTAACCTGTCATATATTTTATCGTTGTAGAGACTTTAATATAGACTCGTGTAAGCTAACAAAATATTTGTAGTGTTATGGGTTAGAAAAACAATTAGCCATTAGTTTTAAACTATTTCAAGTACCCACAGTAGTTCTCCAGTAGCATTTCCTTTTTATTTTTGGAAATAGCAGCAAAAGACAAATTTATGCTGATACCCGAATAAAATAAAAATACCAACAAAACTGCAAGAGAATATTTTTTCAGGTTCAGCCTTTTGCAGTTTTTTATATTTGTATATGTAAAAATAACCTTCTAAAAGTCATGTATATAAATTCATATCAATATTCAACTACTTCATCATGTGACCTTAATACTATTTTCAAACTTACTAATAAACGGCTATTACCATATTAAAATTAATTTTTATATAAAAATTAAAGGGCATTTGTCAAACTAATCGCTATAATTTTAGAAAGTATTTTAAAATCACACGTTCCTGCTTAATTCATCATGTTAAAAATTATAAAATATTTTTCGATACTAACCTTATTATATTTATTACAAAATATAATAATAAAGACCATAAAAATAAGAAACATCTCACAGAGATAATAGATTATAACTTTTAAATACATTGAAAGGGTTAATTGAAAATCCAACATCTATATATTTTTCTTCTAACAAATTTAACTTAATTGTTAACACAGCTACAACTTTAGCTGCAAGTCTCGATGGAGCTCAGAACCCGACTTGTTACGTAACATAACATAAGTGAGAATATCTAGGTAGAATATCGCTGTATGGTATGCAAATGATCCTCAATTGCCAGGCTGAATATAAATAGACTGTGGTTTAAGTTTACTGTAAATCATCTTGAAAAAAATAACTCCAGAATCCCAACTAATAACTGCGTATCATGAGCTAAGAAGTTATGATAAATAATATTGTAATATGATCATTAATAATCTTTAAAAGTATATCTTTCTTGTAGCATAATACAGCATAAAAGAAAAATAAACGATGTCATGTTGTCTTGGAAATAAAAATCGATGACCTGTTATACTAAGGGCTGACAAAGGTTAGTCTTGGGTCGAGATTTCCGTATGTAAGAAGAGTACACACAATGCGTTTATAATGTACTGAACAAAGAGGGAACACCCTAACGATATCCTTATAATTTCATTTCAGATGCTCAGAAACATATCTAATGATTTTATCTAGTTATCTTTTCGAACAAAAAGTCTTTTAAAAATAAGCGGTTTACGATCGTGATTTTACTTTACCTAATAGGGCAACGCCGCAACAGCACACCGTCGCATTTCTCTCACTCCGACTTAATAAGATTCCTATGCGATTTACTTCCACACATGTAAGTTCCGACCCAAAAGTAACAATTGCCAGCACGGTATGTAAAAATACCAGTTAATACTCCTTAATATCAGTTAATATCGATCCTCATTTCTAAAGTATATTTCTATCTGAATGCCACTTTTCTCATCATACTGTGTATTAAGAATCTACTAAAATTTTAACAAACCTATAGTATATTAAAATTTTATTTATTAAGGTTACTATAAACAAATATTTGCATAATAAAAATAAACTGGCATTATTCATATTTCTAAATTATTTTGTTTAGTAAACACATTTTTTAATATCAGTACTAAACAGATATCAACAGGAGAAACATTCTCGTGACAATGTATTGCAGACTACGTAAATATCCACCTAATTGCTCTTTTGTTTGATCTATAAATATAAACTAGTCTTAGATACACATGTTGAACGCCTTAGTGGTTGACAGGATATTGAATTCTTGTGACAAGGTTACCACCATTAATAGAAATTGGAAAATTATGAAAATAGAAAGTTTAGGAATTCAAAAACATCTATTTTTCTTGCAGACGACTTTGTTACATAATTTATAATCCATTTAATAGTGCTTTTATCTTTGGTACATATTTTTTCAGTTGTTTACAATTTTTCGACTGTTATTGATTCTCTTGTTTTTGTAATATCACAGATTATACAGATTATAAACTTTGTTTTTTCTTTATTGTTTTTCGTCGTTCCAATTTTCGGAATCGGGCACTAGTTAGGTTACTACTTTGCGCACACAGCACGCCCACTTATGGCCTGTAAAATTGTGCACAGCGCCTGACCGGCACAGTTATTAGAGAGATATCGGAAAACCGAATAGCGTCATGCAGTATTTAAACGTATCTTATCATGGTTACGATATGCGCGAGTCAATTTTTAACGCAACATCCGCTAATAACGTTACCGCCTGACGTAATTTGCGGATCAATTACACCAAGCGCTATTTCTAAATAACGTTTAAAAATTGCGTAAATGGGCATGAGTGTGTATTTGGCAACCGGGGCCGGCCGGCGAGATCTTTTATTTTA